AGGCTGGAGTTAAAAGATTTGTAGATGCCAGTCTCAAATCCTATTGCCCTAGAGGAGGAGCCTTGCAAATTTCCACAGTGGACGCTTCCCATCAATCCACCATTTTCGAACAAAAGAGGGATGCTAATGTGTCCAGAGATTTGAAGTTAAAAGTGATTAACTCACTATGTAGCATTGATGTGGCTCCTGGGCTTAAAGCAGAAACCTGAAGGCTTCTCTCAGTTGATAAACTTATAGTTTATTAAATAGCAGCCATTCCCAATTTTAATAAAATTTGACCCAGGCTGAAGAGGGAAATATGAGAAAAAATTCCCTTAACTAATTAATGTATCCCCTCCCTCCCCGCCATAACTTGAGAATGGAGAGTTGAAAGACTTAAGTATGCGTAATAACTATCTGTTGGTTTGAGGGAGGATTGTAGTGTGCTTTGTTTTGCAAAGGAAGGGAATGAGTAGAGGTGAGGTGGATCCTTTTCCATTTCTTTTACCTGTCATTCACCTGCCAGTCTGACAAGCAGGAAGAGGAATTCCTATTTGGAAAAAAAACCACAACAACACAGCCTTGAAGAGTCTGAAAATAGATGGCCTAAGACTTGGGCAATATGAACTCAAACTCTGTGGACATGCTGTTAACAGTCATCACAGATAACACAGTGAACGGAGTAGAATTGCTATTACTCCATTCCTGACATGCAAAGTGGCTGGGTGGCACAACATTCAAACAGAGGTACCACAGAATCAGACAGGCTGATAATAACGGATTCCAAAATGTTATGTAACAGCGGAACTACTTGACAGTAATAACACAATTTATATAGACTTTAGGCTTAAACAAACCAAAATAAGCTGAGCATCTGGACTAGTTATCAGAGAAATCCTTTTAATTGTTTGCTTATCTTCTAAGATACAGTTTAACATTATGAACACTGTTAAGTAGCCAACTTGGTGTTAATGCCAACTTTCAAGGCTAGGAACTGATCATCAGATCTGTCTTCTGAGGTAGTTGCTGTTTGTGTCTTCAAGTTGAAATTGACTCATAACTGACTAGTAGGTTTACAGAGGCTCTAGTGGTTTAGTAGGGAGCACCTGGTGGCCTAGTGGCAAGAAGCTGTGCTGAAATCCCAAAGGCACATGGTTTGAATCCACTAGCTGCATTGGAAGAGAAAAATGAGCAATCAATTCCCATGCAATTCACTGCCTCTAAAAACCCACTGGAACTATCAGTCAGTTCCAACTCAACAACAAATCACACAAGAAGAGATTGTCTTTTTCTTTCAGTACAGCTAGTATAGATTTTAACTATCTGCTTTTGAGTTTAGCAGTTATGTTTTTACCTACTAGGTCACAAGAGCTCTCTAATCAAATACCTTGAAAAATTATTTATATTCCTCTCTTTTTAAAGTGGTAACTGCTACAGAAAGACAGAATCTCAGCAAGACAGTATTTAGAGTGCATTAAATAAATATAAATTTTATTAAAAACACTCACATAGCATTATCAGGAATGATAGAATAATAAACAGCTTTCAAATAACCAGCATTCATTACAATACTTACAGTATTTATAACCATCTTCCTATAGACAAATCAAACATTTCATGAAAACGAAATGAAGTTTAAAAAAGCATAGAAAAATGCACACAAGTTCATTATTAGTGTCAGACTGCTGAAGTTTCCTACACAAAGTTAACCATTAGCTTTAGAAGTGAACTGTACATCACTGTGCGTCAATCAAGATGAAAAATTCATTCAAGTAAAGTTGACACCACTCAGAGCATTTCAAGTATGGCTATATTATCAACCTGATATTCCTATATAAGCAAATTTTACATCTGCTTCCCATTCATTCTGAGTCAGGTTTGATATTTACATTAGAGATCTGATATTTACAATATACAAATCACTTCTCCCTCTCTTCCTACCTCTCCCCAACTCCAACTTCACTTCTTACTCTTGTTGGCCAGAAGTTTGGCAAATGACAGTGGAATATAAATAAACCAAAATTCATGAGGGATGGCTGATTAAAAAGCCAACCAATGCATTATTATTATTGTTGCTGTTGTTAGGCGATTACTACATACCAGAGAAGAAAACTGCTGGGCTCTGAGTCATCCCCATAATTGTTATTATGCTTGAGCCCACTAAACATAAGATACTCCAAGTTAATGTTCATAACATATGCAAACATTAAAATCATGTGATCTGATGTTTACGAAACAAAAACTCATTGCTATCAGTTAGGACTGACCCTCCTAGTGGAAATCTGGATGCTATAAATTCTCCAGGAGACTGCCCATCTTTCTCCCCCAGCTGTTGATGGATTTGAACTGTCAGAGATGTGCCATTTTTTGAGTATGCAGTGCAACTCTTTACAGTCCACTGGAGCTGCTTTAATGTATACAAAGCAAAGATTTTGGAAGTAATTGTACTTAAAACTGACACAGTCATTAAAGTCATAGTATAAAAATTTGGCTAATGAGCGGGAGAGGTTTCCTCTGATTAAGAACTTATTTGAAATTCTATTTAAGTAAAACTTTTTCGTACTTAGAGTACAATGAAATAATATAATATATTGCACACCATACTTCTCAATACCTTGCCAATTTAGGGCAAATGGTTTCCTGTACCTGTATTTATTCCAGGTTCAAAAAGGCTTTTTAAAGAGTGCTGAAAGACTCTAACCAACAGCCATTTGCCAAACTCCCACCTTACCTTCTAATTTTCCCTTTATCAACTCAGTGCATTCTATTTCCATGTAATTTTTTTTCCTGCTTCAAACAGTCAGATTCCCTAAACTTTACAATATAAGAACTGACAGATTTACAAAATTAGTTTTAGTTACATCAGAACATATACAAGAAAATAAGAGGGATTCAAAAGAAAAGGGTTAAATCCCTGAAAAAAAAAATAGATTTATGAACCTACAGCAATTTTACATAAACACAGGTGACGTGTTGGCATAAGGAGAACATGAGCTGAAATATCCCTGAATTTTTAGAACCAAAAGATTGAAGTTCAAGTTATACTTGCTAAAAAAATCAAGTATTTTTAAAAGGTATGTATGTTTTTTTAATTAAAAAAAAAGATTTGGGGAGAATGATGGTACACAATGCTATAAGCTTTCATTCTCAGTTCACTATCCTATTGCCAAACTAGTGTTGAGGTATATGACAAGTAGGAACATCACTCAAACCCTTAATAAATTCTTAGCTCACATTATGATATATTTGTAGCAGGCTGGGTAGCACCATCATGATGTGAATTCTGCTTCAAATCCATCCACATACATATATATATATATAATGTGTTTATATATATTTATTTATATATTTAAAATCTTTTACAGTACTAAAATACTAAAGCATTGTGTTAAAAAAGTTTTCTTTACAATTTAATTTACTATACAACTCTTTGACTTCTTTATACAAATTAATGATTTAAAACCAACACAGCAAGCCAGCTGCCTGTTTTGTGTGTGTGTGTGTGTGTGTGTGTGCGTGGTGTGTGTCTTTTTAGTCAGTCAACAGATTCAAGCAGAACTAACCCTGTTTATTCATCTTATGCAGGCATCAGTTTGCTCAATCTTCCTTAGGAGGACACTTAAGCTAAGACATAACAGCACAATGCAAGTAAACTATCAATAACAAGGCAGACTGCCATTCTTTGAAAAAGCACACAGAACCAAGGAAAAAGCATGGGCTTGTGAAATAGCTTTCTTGAGTTTGTAACATGCAGCAAATATCTGCAGTTAATAGAAAATTCTTAAAACTGTATATATTTGAGCAATGAACTTTAGTTTTGTATAAAACTTTTACAGTATAGCACAGAGATGAGCACCAAAAGCATGTATTTTTGTGGACTAAGTTCTATGAATCCAGTCAGTCCATTTTGGATTTAACTGGCTGTATTAAAAGTAGACATACTGCTCATCAGCAGATGCATGGCTAAAAGCAAAAACATTTCCAAAGCTTTTGTTTTTTTCTTTTAAAAAACACACACAACTTTGCACTCTAAACTGAAAGTAAACTTTTTGTGTTTTGTGTTTTGTTTTGCTTTGTTTTCTTTTAAAAGTCTCAGTACCTTAGCATTGTTCAAGTTGTCAAAGCTAGGTAGACAAAGTGCTTTTAAAACACCATTTAAAATATTTATACATATGTGCACATCTACATATATGTACGTAGGGGTGTGTGTATATTTATATATACACAATATGTCTATTCCTACAAGAACTTCACTGGATGCACAAATCCAGTGGCCTTTAAAATGTCCACATTGTTAAAACTAAGTAATTATGATAAAAACATGAATGAAAGGTACCCCTATTATTCAAAGGGCACTGAAGTACACGGATAGCATCTTGATATAAAGGCATTAAATTTTCAACTATTAAAGACACCATTTTCTTAGCACCATTTCTTAGAACATCCGAACAAATTCAGTGTTTTGCTGTCTATTAATTTATGCATTCTGTAGCTATTTTGATAAATAAAATAGTAAGGTTACAGTAAAAACTGCATGTTAAAAAGTTGTAATTCCAGTATTTCAGTACATTGTATATTCAGCACCAGATGGTATTTTAAGTTTCCTGCCACTGTAATTTATACTACAGTACTTGTTCCATGACTCTGCAAACTTGATATTGTTAAAAGTGGACACAGATGTGGAGAGTTTTAACTGGGGATGAAAAGAAAAAAAAAGAGAGAATCACATTTACCTAACATCCCATCCAATAATAGAACCAGTGTTTAAAGGAACAAATTTTAAAATACTTTCTTCACCACCTTTTTGCATAGAATGCTTTGGTCTTTTTCCTAGATGTCATCTGTGACCACTTAAGTGTCCATGGAAATGAAGAGCTATGGTCAAGTCATGTCCTTTTTGCTGGTGAGCCAAGATTTCCTCCCCACTTATAAAGCATATTTGGGTTTTTTTTTCCACCATTGCCTCCATGACTTGACAGGTTATTATCTTTTCAATGAGGTAACCAACAAAAAGGGTGACATTACACATATCTGTTGTAGGGTCCTGTGACCCGAGTGAAGGAATATGGGGATGTGGTTACTTCAGAGGCCGTGTTCACGGACATGCTGTTTGCACCAAGGGACCTGATAAAGCGCAAGTAAGAGGGTTCTGAAGGTTCTTGCTCGGGGGCCTCCCGTTTGATTTTTTTGCCATGGGTTTTTGGAGACACGTACTCAGGTCCGTACTTTTCATAATCTTCTCCTTTCTCACGAGCTTTTTCTGCCATTTTGGCTTCCCAGAGGGCCAAGCCATGTTTTGCCTCATTTAAGTTCTTATGCTGGTAAAAGACAAGTGAAATCCTGGTGGGATGATTCCTATTGGGATTTTTTAACGGGGTTGTGGCATGCAGCTCACGCTTTGCACACTCGATCATGATACACCCATGAGAAGGAGACACAGCTACTCCCCCTACATCAGGATCCAGAAAACTCTTCTCACTGTCCGACCACCTTTCATCATCATCCTCTGCAGCAACAGCCCCATCCTCGGCTGGTACGTAAAGCTGTTTTTCTTGACTAGGAGCATCGTGTAATTTGTGGACGCCTTCTTGAGCGGCAGTTCCGTCATAGGTAAGCACCTTCAATAACCCATTAGTTGTATGGGAAAACATACCATTCTCTTTATTCTGGAGATGCAGAGGGCTATTGAATACACCTGGAGCTGCACTGTAGTTATGAATCATATAAGAAGATGGATTATTACCATTTTTATAGTCTATATTTGGATTGCTCAGATTGGGTGGTAATCTAGAAGCAGTTTCCATCTCAGGAGTGGAGTAAGAAGGAAATGTCCCTACACGGTGTGCATTTGTCTCAACAGTACAACTGCTGAAGGCATCTCCCTGCATATTTTGAGCTCCATAACCCAAGCATTTGGACAAATCACTTTGGCTATTTCCAAGCCGCTGCCGGTACAGTGTATGGATGGGTGGAAGGTTTACTTTAGAGAGCTGGTCTTGACTTGGAAACCTGTATGGATCGACGGTTTGCGACTGGGATGAATAGGAATTCAAATATGGAGTGCAGTTGTCCACTGATACGTTTCCATTGCACTGGTATGTTGTGTATTGGTTGTTTTGATTTAAAAGTCCAGAATAGGAGTTTATGGGATTAGAAGAATTGAAATATGATCCTGTAGTTTGGGATGAGGTGGAATAAAGGTTCATTAGGTTGTCCCCACCATAAACATCTGAAGTGTGTAAAGCTGGATATGGGCTAACTGGATTGGGCTGTCTAATAAATAGATTGGTGGGTCCGGATGAAGAATTGATAGACTCTGACTGAGAGCTGTTAGCCAAGGTGTGATGTGGCTGCTGCTGGGGTCGATGCTGTTGTTGAGGCTGTTGAAGTTTCTGCTTCTGTGGTTGCTGGTAATAGGACAGCGGTGGCGGTATGACTGCTCCTGAATGCCGCAACATTTCTGTAGACAGGGCAAGAGAGAAGGAATAAAGATGCATTTTATTTGAGAATAAGATAGTAAGAACCAGTACTAGGATTGAAGCAACATGGATCAACCTGCTAAGTGAAAATCTGAGGCCTCCCACCACACACCTGTATTTTACGTTATTTCTCTATTGCCTGGTATTGTATTAAAATTTTATCCAATAATAAAAATAAGGAAGATTTTGCTACTGATGATTCAGCAACACCATGAGGAAAGAAGGGGGAAATGACAAGTCATATTATAAAATAAAAAAATACTATTTAAAAAAAAATACTATTTCATTCACATGCTTTCCAGAGAGATTTACAATGATTTGTCAGTGAAGCAATGAAGAAACTTAGTGGATCTGAAGTTATTTCTATATGCATAAATAAGAAATAAATAGAGGTGAAATAGTGGGTCTTAGAATTGATATTACTGTGTTGTGGTCTAGAGACAAACTCTCAACTCCACTAACTACCCTTGAAACCAGTTCTTAGCTAATCCAGTGGAGTTTTGTTTTGCTTTGCTTAGTTTTTTAGGAGTCAGTCTGTCTCTCTCTGTCTCTGTCTCTCTCTTGGTGAAGAACCAACACAAAAACACAGACTATGAGTCAGTAGTGTAAATCCCTGCAGACGATATTACCAGTGACTAGTGACTTCAAATTAATAAAACTAAATCTCATTGCTCTAGGAACAGACTCATAAATAATCTACAGCAGGTTTTCAGAGGCTATAAACTACATGGGAGGAGGCTAATGATGAATGTGAATCAGGTACTGTGTAACTCCCCACCACTAGAATATGGACATTAGCTTTTTCTCTGATCGTGAGCAGTATTAGTTGTAGACCTAAAGCACTTAATATTTCCTTTGGAAAGAAAATATCAATTTGCTATTAATGAAAATAAGCATTTATTGTGACAAAGTCATCATGAGTTTGAGCCGACTCAATGTGAGTAGTGCTGTGGATATTTCTATTGGCATAAGCAACTTTAAGGGAGAGAGCTCTCACATTCCAGGACTAAGGACCTGTGCAGCAAAGCCATTGCTTACTCCTTATGAGAAAGGCAGGTAATCTCATTTTATGATTTACTGTCTCTAAAAATGTGTTGGATGGTCAGCTATGAATCAGTTCCAACTGAAGAACTGGACATAACACAATACCATTTTAAGGGATAAGTTTAATATGACAACCACATTTGGCTATGCCTCAATTTGTCTATTCTGCTGCATACAAATGTATTTATAAAAATGTCAAAAAATAAAATTTAGATTTTGGAGGTCATAGGTAAGGAATTCTCCTAAATTTGACTACTTACTAAATCCTACTGCTTTCCATTTTGCTAGATGTAAGTTTTTACTCTATGACATTGATACTACAAAAAAAATTCCATCTCAAATTTTTTTCATTCTTGGTCCAATGAGTCCATCTCTCAACTGTTAGCTCCTCTACTTCTAACTTGGATTATCTACTATTGCTAGGTAGCCTTTCATCAGACCACTTATCTATTATACACTTGTTAATCTGGGTTTACTATGTTTTTTATATTACCTTAGAGCTAAGACCCTGATTAACAATGCTTAGTTGAAATACAAAAGTTTCTTTTTTAATGCTTCCCATTGAACTTACCTCCCAACTGTTTAGCTTGGCTTGCGTTATCAGTCTGTTTTGCCCGTGATGAGGTTGACTTGTCCTTGTCATTCCTATTGGAGGTGTTTTCCTGTGAGGCCAGCTTCTCAGCGGCTGCTTTTTTGCTTTCCATTTTCCTTAGGCGGCATGGCTTGGCTGGCTCTGATAACAACCTGACTTTTCTTGGATAAGAGCTCAGTACCTGAATAGAACCATTTCGTATTTTCTCCTCCTGGGCTTCTGTGCTCCCATACTCATCCACAGGAGAGATTTTGTACAAAGGTAGAACATGGAGCTGCTCATCCTCAGGTTTTGCATCAATTCCTCGATTGTCCTCTTTGGTGAGGGTGCATACCTGGCAGCAGAAAGAATACACTTTCAGGTCCCAAAGAGTCTCAAGAGGTAACAACACACAGGGAGTGGGAGAAGGGGATACAATAAATTGCAATGCAAAGAGGCTTTCAGCTTTCTCCCAAACAGCAGCTGGCAGATTTGAACCAATGAAGAGGTGTGGTTTTGAATTAGCAGGCTTCATGTGTGCTCCTCTGGATCAGAGGGTGGCAGAGCCCGTGGCCAGTTTGCTTCTCTACTCCTTATACATCTACATCTTTATTGATGATTCACTGCACTGAGTAATTTCTAGTTTTACACAAATTCCAGTATGTGGCTTTGCATGTAGAGAGCTAAGTAAGACTCAGAGCAATGAATAAAATCATGTATCAACAGACTTTTCTAGTAGGGGATTCCCTAGCAGAAACCTCTTGTTGACCCTAAGACCTAACTCCATTTTACCTCACTAATGTCTGCAAGTAAGAACTCATTTATTTTATTACATACTGTCACACAGTTTCAGTCACTGTAGCAGTGACTCATTCTTGCATTTCTCATTTTCATTAATCTGTGCAAGAAGGACTGGCAGCTTGACTTGTGTCTGACACAAGTATGAAAGATTTTATGTTGGGAGCAAACTGTAGCTGATAAGGTATAGTCTGCCAACAACCTGACAGTTTGTGACGGTTTTGTGTTGCCATGATGCTGGATGTTATGCTGCCAGGATTTCAGATACTAGCAGGGTCACCTGTGTGGACATGTTTCAGCAGAATTTCAGATGAGGAAGAATATTCTCGTGATCTGGTTTTAAAAATCAGTAAATGAAAACTATCAATCACTGCAGAATATTGTCCTGTTATAGTACTAAGAAATCAGAAATTAGAGGAGAAAGCATTGAAAGTACACAGTTACCACAAATTACTTGAGCATGCCAATGATCTTGAAGACAGTACAGATCTCAGTAACTACAAATGACTTGAGCATGCCAATGATTTTAAAGACAGTAGAGGTCTAGTGGTAAGGAGCTTTGGTAAGTAAGGACTCTAGTGGTACAGTGAAGTCCTTGGGAGAAAGATGAGTAATCTCCAAGTAATTATATTGCCTCTGAAAACCTGCTGGGGCACCAACAACAATCAGGGTAACATTCCATTCCACCTAATAAGATAGAGCTGACTAAATGGCAACTAACACTAACACAGTGTCACTGGTTTAGGGATTGAGAATTGGTACTGAGAATTTCCATTATTCTGTGCTCTCCTAATGTGTTCTATGCCCTAGTTATGCCAGGTAAGTCACAATTCAGCAACAATTCATTCCTAAAAATGCTGTCATGCTGTGCCACTGGCAGACAACTTACTATTGTAACCAAGTGCAAACTTACACCCTTTTATTCTTGATATGGAGGTGCTGCTATACCCGTCGGTCCACACTTACCACTGTGCTTCCATTAATCATGTTGTGCAAATCTCTATGTGCATGGGCACAGAAGTCCAGACATGCAGTGACTCCTGAGAATGGACGGCCTGGTTCCAGACCCAGGCGACAATCTGGCGCTCTGTCTTCATATTCAACCTTAAAAATTAAAGTATGTGTATGTTTGGGCAAGTATGTTACAGGTCAATTTTACATCAAAAACACATTGGAATGACACAGAGCAAATACCTTGATAAAGTACTTGTCAACACTTTTATATTGTTGAGGAATAGTTGATAGTAACACTCTTGGAACCATAATCACAATAATGTACAAGGTTTATATCACAAGAAAGTGTCCATTTCCACCTTTCTAATTCATCTCTCATACATTCATATTTGAGGCTCTTCTTTCAACTACTAATGACTTTCTATGATTGTCCCTTAGTTTATATTTTCTAGATTTTATATATAGATCTACTTTTAGTTTATATATTGTGTGAGGTTAAAGTCAAGGCTAGTTTTTATCTCCAATATTGCTAGTTAATTGCTCAACCACTACTGGATAAAAATGTTATCTTCAAAGAATTACAATTCACAATAGATATTAGGTCCATTTCTGTACCTTCAGATTAACTGGTGTATTTATGACAATCATACTGTTAACTACTATACATTTTTAACACATCTTGAAAGCAGAGAGTACATATACTCAAATTGTCCTTTTAATAAATTTTATAAATTCCAAACATGCAAATTACAGAATCACCTTGTCAAAGCCTTCCTAAATCCTGCTTGAGATTTTTATAGCACTACACTGAAACAGGAAAAAGGCTAGAAATAAAATTTGTACAACTTATTCATTGCATATACCCTTTAGTAAGTAAGCCAGTATAAAATGATTTTTTTAAAAAGTAAGACAAGTAATGTAGGGGTGAATATGACAAGAAGGGGTGAATATGATAGGAATAACCAGGAAAATGATAAGGAAGGGGAGTAGACAACACTTAGATTTAACAAAAGGAAGTCACAAAAATCTCTTAGAAAGTCTTTATGGTGATACTGAGCTTGCAAAAAAAAAAATTCTACTGTCCAAAATGCATATCCTTTTGTATCCTTTTCCTTCTGGAGTCCTCAGGTCTGGATATCTTTGAATAACCTCTATGGATCTCTCTACCTCTCTCCTACCTCAGCACTGATATTACTTTTCGTATTCCACCCAACCCTAAAATGTTGGTACATTTATGAATCTCATTAACCCCTAGAAAAATCCATAGTCATCTTCCCACAAAGACTCACTAATCCTTGCCTTCAATTGGCTACCAAGCTTTCCAAGTTAAATATTTTTTTAACTACACATTTCCTAATTTCTTTATCTACCATCATTTCTTTAATGTAGCACTTTTAAATACACAGTGATTCATATTTTAATAAGCAATCACTTCCTCTATTTAATCATTTGTGGTTGTTCAAGTTCAAGGACCATTCACCTTTCTGAGCAAGTGTTGGATAGCACGAAGGGCTTCAGACACACAGGCGCTCATGCAAATCCACTGGGCTCACGAAAATACAAATCAAATGACTTCAAGTTTAAAGTCTCTTTCCATTTAAGATAAACCTTTTGTCAAAAGTTTCTGAAGGTATTTAAAGTTATTCACGTCCTTAGCTTTCTACTTAACTCTTTTTCTCCTTCAGCACATGTTTATCTTTGTTTTATTTTAACAATGTTTACTATGGTTTATCTTTACTAGGCCCAACCATCTTATATGTTCTCTTATATATAAGACAGAGGGAGAAATGGTTTGTGCTTGATTGATGGTGCAAAGTCAAGCAAAGAATATGATGTAGCAAAACAGACATATATAAAGATGTATAAAACATGCTGCAAAGCTTTTAAATTATAGATGAAAATGGCTAATGATTGTTAGGCACTATGCTTCCAGCCACAGTCAGTAAATCAAGACATTAAAAGTCTGCTGATGAAGACAAAATTACCCAGAGTAGAATAAAAGATAGTAGAGAGAACAGCGTGTCAGTCTCACCTTCATGTTTTTAATGGTGTCACTATAATATACAGAAGCATTACAATGCATTACATTGCATTAGCATCAATAAACAGTAAAAAGAGTAAAAAAAATCTTAGCTTCAGAATTGGTTGTGATAGTAAGTGGATCATGATTCATCAATAAATAAATATTGAAACTTACCTGATTATTATATGCATCAGGTGCCATTTTCTTGTATATTGGTCCCAGAAGAGTAGCGAGGTTTTGAAAAAGAGATTCCACTTTTTCTTCCTATATAAAAATTTCTACATATTAAATTCTAAACGTTTCACATTGTTGTGTACTGTCTAGTCAGAAGTGATCCACAGTTGATCCTCAAGCTTTCAGAGGCAGTTAATCGCATGGGAGGAGACGGCCCATCTTGCAGAGCAACTGGTGGATTTGAACTGCATGCCTTTGGGATGCCTTCTTGCCAATAGGCCACCAAAGCTCCCTAAATGGTGTGTGTGTGTGTACATATGTTGTTATAAACTATTAAGTTGAAAAGACATAACTGACCCTCCACTAAGTTTTCAGAGACTTTAAACCTCATAGGAGGAAACTGCCAATTCTTCTTATGCCAAGCAGCTGGTGAATTTGAAAGGCTTGTCTCTGGGTTGGCAGTGCACCACTAGGCCACCAAAGCTCATGCGTGCTCTCCCGTTCCCTCCCTCCCCCCCTTGCTTGCTCTCTATATATGAAGAATATCAGATTTCAACAAAGTAAAATTGGGCCTATCTTTATTAAATAACTAAATAATCTTAAAAATATATCTATTCCTAAAAAAATCTATCCCTTAATGTGTATGTGCCTATCTTTGTGAAGGAAGATAATAAAGATTTTCTCTATATAGTTCTAAATTTGTTTGTTTGTTTGTTTTTTTAAAATCACTTTAACAAAAGTCAAATAGTGGCTTGTTGCACATTTTACTTTAACCTCTCCTCAGTCCCCCTTTTTCTATATATTCATTCATTGTTGCAGAACTAACTTCCTCTGCTCTCCCTTCTCGTCTTCATCTTCCCTTCTCCCCCTCTTCATCCTCTCTTACTCAAGATAGTTTTCTTACAGACTCTGGACAGTTGTGTTAGATATAATGCCTAATCATTTATTCCTTTTAAACAGTTCTCTCCCTATACTAAAATGAAAATTTAAAAAAACCTAAGCATCTGAAATAGTCAAAATGATTCCTTTGACAATTAATAATTATTAACTTATTTTGGCATAATATTAACTACAAAATTTTTATAAAATTACATTTCTACAGTTCAGGAAAAATATTATAAAACTGAATTATATCATGTTATTATTAACTTTCTCTACTCACACCATTTTTCTATTTATAAATAAAAATAAATTATAAAACAGGAAATAAGCTACCTCTTTTGGGTCATCCCCATTCAGCTTAAATCTCTTCGGGATCTTGCTTCTGGCAAATTTACACCCATTGTAGTACATGCTCCATGAACAGCCGAAAGAAAAGGAGGCACCACTGGTTGCTGGGTCCATCCCCTGACAGGTACAGGTTCTCCTGAGAAAGAAAAAAAATATCTTTATAGATATGGAAAAGAATTATCCATATATAATTATCTATAGAAAAGGCTGTCTGTAGGATTCAATCTCCCAGTACAGAACCTGTTGTATAACCACAAATTCAACTATTTAAATAATGTTTTATTACAGAACACTACACATACAGAAAAGTATATGCTTAATGAATGTTCATAAATAGAACACATACTTATTAACTGGTAGTGGCTTTCCTAGTACACTAGAAATCTCATCTCTTTTTTCTAGGTCCATCACTGTCTCTTTCCTAAAAGTAACTTGTATCAGCATAGTAGCGCAGATGTCAGACTAGACATCTAAAGGAGTCTTTAAAGCATGAACTTGATTGAAGTAGAAAGTACAAGAAATAAATAAATACATACAAACATACATAAAATAGAAAACTCATTACAGCAAAGAAATGAAGCAATGATTGGATAAGATTATGTAGTCTGAGTAAATATATTAATTTCCCTTAGCATAGACTCAAAGGCATCCATACTTAGACACATTATAATCGAACTATTCAAAGGCAGAGAGAATCCTGACAAAATCAAAACACATGTGACACAGAACGAAATGGTTCTCAGTAAGATGAATAGCAGGTATCTCATTAAAAACCAGTAGGACTTTTAAACCAGTGGGACTATTAAAACAACACATTTATCATATGTAAAGTATTAACAGAAAGGACTGTTTATATCTATAAAAATGACTTAAAAAATTTTTTTATTATTAATTTTAATTAAAGTTTACAGACTTAGGGTTTCCATCAATTTATTGTTGCACTTTTCTCCCTGCTCACCCCCTTCCCCACAATTTGCTCTTTGAAAAGTAAAAGAAAAATTATTTCATTGTTTTACAATCCCTCCCCCCCAAGTCCACTCCACTGTGCAGCCTTCACTCTGGACTCCTGTCATGACAATAATACCCAATCACATATCCCTTTTAAACAGTTCTCTCTCTCTCATCTGTTTCAATGCAGATACATTATTTATCCCATCTTTCTCAGTCTCCCCTCAACCCCGATATCAGTCCCGTTTTACAACAGTGGCACTATGCAGTATTTGTCCTTTTGTGACTGAGATATTTCACTCAACATAAGGTCCTCCAGGGTCATCCATTTTGTATAATATTTCATGGGTTCCTTGTTTTTCAATGCAGCATAGTATTCCATTGTGTGAATATACCACAGCTTCTCTATCCATTCATTTGTTGATGGGCACTTATCTAGTTTCCAACTCTTTGCTATTGTGAACAAAGCTGCAATAAACATGGGTGTGCGTATATCTGCTTGGGTGGTGGTTATAGTTTCTTTGGGGTGAAAATGACTTTTAAGGATGAATGACACCCAAGCTGTGGTATTTTTAATTGCTTCAAACTTTTATAAAGTTTGGATACTGAATAAGTGAGAAAGAAAAATTGGTGTCTTTGAATTTTTGTGTTGTCTCTGAATGTTAAATACACCATGGATTGCCAAAGAATAAACACATCTGTCTCAAGAGGAGACACAACTAGAATCTCAGAGACAAAGATAATAAACGCTTCGACATTTTGTCAGGAGAAGCCAGCCCCTAGCTAAGGACAGCAGGCTTAGAAAGCCAGGGAATGGCAGATTGACATAGCCATTGTATTAATGGGCTTAAATATGGGAGAGAAGATTGTGTAGGTTTGGATAGGGCTTATACACAGAGGGGTCACTATGAGCCATAGCTCACTTGCCTGTCCCTAATAAAAACAATGGAAAATGTTTCATCGCTATTCATAGGATTGAGGCTGAGACATACAGATAATACTAATAAATGATAAGTGCATAACACAACAATTTAAAAAAATCAATTGGTCAAAAAAAGAAAAACTATACTCTCATTGTCTCATAGAAAATTTCTAGGCTGTAAATTATAGCAGGAAGAAACTTCTCCCATGAAATTGCTAGTGGATTCAACAACTGGAGATGTACCTCCTTTGCTCACCAGTGTTCCACACTATGAATTATGCTGTATGATGTAATAATATACGCATGGCAATAACAGCACATGAGAGCAGGAGTAAATAATTACATAGTAGAGACATTTTTATCTTATACTATAATAAAATTGCTTGGAATGACAAAGCAAAATACTACAATGAAATGTGTGAGGAACTAGAGTCAGAAAATCAAAAGGGCCGAACTCGCTCAGCATTTCTTAAGCT